AGGCTGGACAAATTTGCGGCAAGTTATTTTCCTACTTCTGTGGGAAAGTGTTGGCGATTTGTTTTAGTGCTAACGACAATAATTTTGGCAGTGTTATGCTGCCGAAATTCATGGCCGTCAGGATAAATTAGGTGGAGGGGAAGTGTTGGCGGTCGGCGACAATGCTAGTAATCACCACTCTTGAGTGAGTATCAGTGGGGAGGTGATATTTTATTTTTCCTTTTCCGTCGGTAAAAGAGCGGGACATTGCACATCGTCCAGGTGGGACCAGTGGGACATGTGAGCAAAACAGGCGGTACCGGCAAAAGAGAGAGTGGTCCTTTTTTTTTTTGAGAGTCAGGGAAGGTTGTTTTGACTAGCGATATCAACTGGAAGTGAAAAGGAATGACGTGGGACTACCCGGGACCACTTGGCACTAGTGGGCATCGCCGCGAACCGCTCGGTACCAGTTGGTACCAACGCGAGCCACTTGGAATTATTAGGCGCAGACGTGGACCTTCTGGAGCTAAGTGGGACTCGTGGAACTTACCGCCTTCGCGTCTGGGATTGCCACAAGAAGTACTAGTGAATCAGGTGTCGACCATGACTAGTAATCTGCGCAGCGGTTTCTTCGACAATACGCACCAGTACTTGAGTTTTTGTATGAGGGCACAATCAAACTTTCGCTACTCAACGTCAGTGGTTGGCATGGATCCCTCACACCTGTGTGCACCCTCACGCTGTATGACCCTTCTATTTTTCTTTTGGGTGCTCAGGGAAAGCTGAAAGGAAGGAAAGTGTGACAGGGCACGCTTGTGTGAGACTCTGGGTCAGACTTGGATGATGCTTTCGTGGTTGAACTCGTTGAATGTTGACTTTGCTCTGCATGCAAGTGTGTGAAGGGAGAAAAATACTGAGAAACAAAATTCAAGTTTTACTGATTGAAATGGTGAAAACGTTGAGTGTTTTCTTCTATCTTTTCTCTGTAATGTTTTCACTTGTTTGATAAGGTAACAGTTAAACCATGAATGGGGAAAGTAATCGGGGTCGAAAAAGGAATGCGGAATATAAAAAAAAGGGAATGCGAATGAATTTAGCTATCCCTGAGGTTTCCTTTCGATCCCGAATGACCCTTTCAACCTACTTCGCGTCCGAACGAGTCTTTACTATATCTCTTTCTCTTCTGCATGTACGATTCGTCTAAGTTATTTCTCTTCCATTGAGGTCCAAGGCAGTCGATCTGGTTCTGAGTTCGAGAGCTCTCTCATTCTAGCAGGAAATTCGGGGCGGGGGTTCGTTGCTTTAGGAGCCGACCCTGTTATCGATCCGGAGTGGACCGTTTTTATGGGGGAGTACTATACCGATTCGATGGAGACGGTTCGACTTCTGAGATCTGACCTTTCAGCTCAGGCGAGGAGAAGGAGTATTCCAGACCACTTCCTAGAGGGTGGGATGTACAACGATTATGAGATCGGAATAGGTTTTCCCTTGTACCTCTATACAGGGAAAGGACTGAAAATTAGTACTTTTTTGAGTGGTCACCTTAGGTGCCACTAACGCATGGGGAATTGGTGACACAAAAAACCCAGTTCATGTACCTACTATTGTCCGAAGAAGTACGAATAGGCACTAGTCTTTCGTGGCTGGACCGTGGCATAAGAATCACGACTAAAAAAAAAGGATAAGGGTAAAAGAGTTATGTTTTCATAAAATTACTCGTACTTTCTTTTTTCCAGATGCCTACGTTAACCGCATTCATCATGCTCTTTCCAAGTAGGGAAGCTGCCCCAAGGTACATAGTTCAGGCAGGGAGGAGAGGGGTGATTTTAAAACAAGTCGGTCGAACGGTCTACGACCTGATCGTTGTGTTTCCTCCTGGACGGGAGTTGTGGATGGATAGCGGCATGAAAAGTAATCCATCGCGACTTATCAACAAATTCTCGAACCAAGCTTCGTCAGAATTCGACAGTCAGGCTGGGAAGGATGTATTTGCGACTCGTTTTGTACTACAATGTCCGCATAGGTCCGTTTGACGAGATCGAGTTCATGGAGCGCATTCGGGTTAACCGCTTCGAAAATTTAGGAATAGAAAGGTTTGACATAGCCACCTATTGGAACCGGCTAGGTTACCTGCGACGACTCCTTGACGCGTAAAATAAATCAATCGTATAAAGGAATAAAAACGACTCCAAATACTTTGACTGAGTTGCAATCCTTCCTAACGAAAGTTTATTCAAATTTTACAGATGACGTGTGCGACGATGATAGTAACTCCTTTTCACACACACAAGGAGGCAAATGAATGAATATCACGCCCTGAAAGCAACAAGATTGGCTTAATATAGTCAGGACGACCAGTATACGATCCGTCTGTCTTTTAAGATTGGTTTAATATAGTCAGGACGACTTGTATACGATCCGTCGGTCGTGTTTCCCGAAAGAGATAGACCACGATTTTGGTGAGGGAACTTGAGACGGTCTTCAATGTGTTATCTAATTACCACTGGTTATGGATGACACATTATTCGATATGGGTTCGCCCCTGGATGAGACTTCGCCGACACATATCTGATGATTCAGAACAACGAAGGATCGAGGCGATACGTTGAGAATATTCCCGAGATAAAATGGTTCTTCTTAATTATTTTGCTACATCTCAACGAGCTGCATGAACCCTTCGATTATGTTCATCATTATCGTCGGACTCCAAATGGCAGATTTCGACGCTTGAGACAGATTGTTTTTTCTGTGGCAGAACGCGAGGAACGTCGATTGTTTTTGCTGATCAACTCTTAATTGTGGTTCTCTTGTGAGCAGATGAACGGCGGGCGAAGAGATCTTACCTTGGCAATATACCTTATTGTTCGTGACACACACGAGGATTATCTGATCAGAGGAGCGGAGCAACTTTTGCGGGTTCGAGATGACACTTTTACCCAGTGGATTGGCTTCATCGAGTTACTCTGAAACGGTGAGGGATTTTTCCCCACCACTTGCACGGATTTCCGGGCCAATACGACTCAAACTCCTGAGGAGTTTCATGGTTATACTTTGTATTTCCACTGCACAAGCAACCTCCAATGTCTCTCTCGAGCCATTGTGAGCATTAAGATTACCTCGTCCGGTAGACGTTTCGGCGTCATCCGGATCCGGGATACAGAAACCCGACACTTATTTGGACTTAGTCGGCCTCTTCGAGTCATAGTGTGGACACTAGCCTCACGGATGACCTCTCTCTATGGTATTCGAATAGTTAAAGTTATGCGAGGTGGACGGATGACTACTTTGGTATTCGACGACGACGAGCATGTGCGATTGTATTTGTTGGAGGCTCAGGTGCGCGGAGGACGATAAATCTACTAGGGTTAGACATCGTTTTCTGAAAATTTTACTTTGATTCTGGGAAAACACCTCGCATAGACTAATCCCGTTGAGGAAACCATATGACTTATGGATTCACGAGGTAATCTCAAAAACAAAAACACTCCATGCAGATAGGACCGTCGGATGGATAGTATTCGGATTACCCCGATGATTTCACTATCATGCTTTGACATTAAGGGGTAAATACCTAGGTTGTTGGATCGGACGCCCGGGACCCCCCTGACCGTCCGGGCTGTCCGATCGGACGTCTGGTCGGACGTCGGACCGGACAGGGTATGTCCGACCTAGTGAGGAAAAAAAATAATAATAAAAAAATATATATATGTCTTTCACCTTGCATTAGGTGTACACCACCAAATTTTTGGATTATTTGGGCCAGTAGAATAAATAATAAAAATCTTCAAAGATTCTAATCCCCACCTATACCCCTCCTATCCCCACCAAAACCCATTGTATACCCCCCCCCACCCCAAATACCACCCTACCAAATGCTCAGAAGAATCTGAAAATCTTTGTGGGGGGTCTCTAGGGCATGCGCAACACTGTGATTTTTTTTTTTTTTTTTTTTTTTGCTAAAAAGCCGTCGTCCGGAAATCTGGACAACGGGGGAACCTGACGTGCGGGGAGACGTCCGGTCTTCGGACCATTGGTAACCTAGGTAAATACATCAGAAAGGAAAAATAAACAAATACGTTTCAACGGTCTGAAGTTATTTTTAGACGTTTCTGCAAGAAACAAGTAGGGAAAACTTTAAGTTACGACTTACGGGACAACCTGAAACGTGACCCCGAAATCATACATAAAAAAGTCTGACCATGAACACCAATTTAAAGGATTGAAGGAATTTACTATACGTTTTCAAAAAGAAAGTTTTTGTGTTTTGAGACTACATCAACGACAAGGAGGAATTACGTCAGCGTGATCTTTTCATCAGACCAAACCAATTGTATTAAATATTGTGTTGATTTCGCAGTTGTGATTGCTGAGATGATTGACTGAAATATATATTTTTTTCTATATATGTATTACTTTATTAAGGGCATATGTGATTTTGCTTTGATAAGTTACATATATATGCATATTTATGTGAACATTATATGGAAGGAACTAAGGTTAAAATTGAGGTTTCCATACTTGATCGAGACCGCCCTAGTCGACCGGCGCATGCTTCATCCTTAGAAGATCAACGCGCTAAGCAATGAATGACGCCCGGATTCAATAGGCGTTTTTAATCACATGTACCTATACGACAACGAGCGAGCAAACACCCTCGGCTGACTCACCTCTGCGATTGCATGTAAAAACTTTCGCACGTGGGTCATTAGTTAGGTGGGGATACGCCCCTGAGGGTGGTGACAACCCCTTAGGGAAGAAAGCCTATGCTCCGCGGGAACGTATCATGTCGTAGGGGACCGCAAAATGTACAGTTGGCGCACCCGGCTAAAGTGGTGGAAAGACGACGCGACCACGACCGTCTCGACGGCTCATGAAATTATTTATGCATCATCTCAAAGTTGTCTCTCTATGTTTATGTTTTATTTTGTTTATCTCCTATGTGACATGACCGGGAAGGTTCTCGCCTTTGCGAAAAAGACGGGAGTCGATGCGCTTGACAGGTGGCGCCGTTGCCGGGGATAACGATAACTACCGTTGTCCCTGGTGGAACGACACTCGGATAAACAAATATTAAAAAGTTATAATCCATACTTGTTTTTGTTTTGTTTTCAGATAAAAAAACAGTAAAATTTTTACAGAGTTAAAAAAACTAAGAAGAGTTCATTGAAATATGAATGCGTGCTGTTATTGTTTCTGTGCTACTTAAGATGGTTCAAGCTGGCGGAAATGGCGACGAGAAACGAAATGATATCAGAGAGTTGACTAAGGCAATCCAAGAGTCAGCCACACAAAGGGATCAACTTCCAATGGTGGAAGTACCTTTGTTCGATGGCAACAACGCCTCTGGTTGGGCTGAAAAGTTCGAGCAGCTAGCAAGTTGTCGAGAATGGACTGACAAAGAGATGTTGCAGAAAGTAAAGCGATATTGCAAAATAAAATATAAAGAGGAGTTAATAGCCATGGTAAATGAATCACGAGATTGGGTTGAATTCAAGGAAAAGTTGTTGGACAAGTATCAGCTGGGAGATCAATTGTTGGACTTAGCCGACCTTCGAAAAGTTGTGAGACGAAAGTTTGGATCGATTAAGCAATTCCTAACCGAATTTGAGCGAGTTGACGAGTTGATACATGATTTGCCAGATAAGGACAAATGTTTTATCTTCCCGGACAACTTTTCAGAGGTCGAGCAGAGAGAATTGATGAAAGACATGCAGGGGCGATATGATTGGCCAAAGATGAAAACAAATCTCTTGGCAGGGAGTTTCGACCAAATGCTTTACCGGCTGCTGAAGCAGTGTAAGGCGGATTGTGAGAAGGATGATATCGAGAAAGACAAGGATCGCAAAGTTTTTAAAACATTGTTAGATATGAAGGAAATGATAACAGACATGCAGGTGGAACGGTTAAAGTTGGAAATTATGATGGTTAAGGCAAAGGGAAGTAAAAGAAAGGGAAAGGAAATTATTGTTGAAAGCAACAGTGATAGTGAGAGTGAAGAAGAGGAACCACCCAAGAGATTGACGAAAACCGAGAGAAAGACTTTAAATCAGATTCGGGGACGACAGGGGACTTCTAAGAAACAAGGAAAGAACGGTGTGAATGGTGGAAACGGCGGGAATAACTAGGGACACGGAAAACAATCTCAGCCCGGCCTAAGCCAGCAACAAACTGGAGGAGGCCGTGGGCGAGGGCGAAGGAATTTTGAAGGGCGTGGTAACTGGGCAAAAAACCTTACATGTAAGTACTACGATGAAAAGGGGCACATTATGCGATTTTGTCACATCCTCGTTAAAGACGAGGCTGACAAAGACGTATATACTACCATTCGTGAGGAAGTCTTTGATTTCGAGGGAAATCTTATTGATCCTAATATTGAAGGGTTTATGAGGAAGGAGGTTTTCCGGCGAATGGGGCGCCGTCTGCCCGCCACCTTCCGGATGACATCGCTGGAGGAAGAAGGATTCTTTTAAATGGAAGAAGCATTTCAGACTCTATAAGTTGATGATTCATAAATGGATCTGGGAGAGCTAACAGAACAAGGAGAGACACTCATTCAGCGAGCGCGAAAAGTAACAAAAAAAATGAGAAAGTGCCGAGACAAGGTCGTCCAACTGTGTTTTTATCTAGATGAAGAGTGACCCTGACTGCCTAATGTACACCTATTTGGAGGGTGGGATAAACCAGATAGTACTTCTTCATCTGCACTCGAATTTTCATCTGGTGCTGGACACATGGCTGCTACTCAGATATCCCGGCCTGTACTTAAGCGAACGTCTCCAACGATGTTAGCACATGTGTGTAGGACTCGAAAGGCCTTGAGCAAAAAAATGACAGTAGAAAGTGGATTGAAGGATCCGGTGGAAGAAGTCAATATCCCCGATGATGAAGAAAGCAATTCAGAAAAAAGAGGACGAGAGGTTGTGTGCCGAAGATGAGCGACAGACAAAACAATGGGCTTCAAAACATGACATTGAGAAGGGAAAGGAAGTGGTAAAAGAGGAGGAACCTCGACGTAAGAAGAATATCTACACAATTCATATTGAAAAAAGGAACCGGCATTCTAGAAAGTCAGCATGACTTGGTCACGCTGAAGGAAATTTTGGCAGCATCACCGAAGATCCACGATGAGCTTAAGCAGCGATTGACTTGAAAAAAAATAATGAGTGTCAAGTTTGCTGATATCCTTCCTCCGGAAGCCAATTGGGCACCATCAGGAACCGAAATGGATTGACGATGCATTGTCACCGGTCTCTTAAAGGTGCACGTTGGACAAGGTGAGTATTCAGTCATGGTTGATGATGGCGTTGAAATGAACATAATGAGAGAAAGAGAAGTCATTGAGGCACGGATCGAAATCAATCGATCTGATACCGGATTCCTTGTAGGTGCAAGCAGATCAACTCCTTTCTATGGCACGACCAGTGATGTGACGGTCACAGTAGGGAAGGTCAAAGCTCGTGGCTACTTCTATGTTCTACCTAGAGTTGAGCATGAAATTTTGTTAGGTAGATCATTTTTATGCCGGACGGAGAATCTGATTATTAACAAGCATGATGGTTCAATGTTTGTTGCCTTATGTGATCTTGCGTGTGGATATAGTGAAGTAAGAAAATGTGGGAACACATGTCCAGAAAACTCAAGGAACCGGCTTAATCGAGGATCCTACTCTTTTCCAGAGTCTAAAATGTTAAGGAGAGAATTATTTTTTACGGTTATGAGGAACCGATGAAATTTTGTCAATTGCACTGCTAAACATATCACAGACAATGAATTTTCTTTCGACGAAATTCTCTGTTGACTAAGGGTTGGTACAAATGTTAAGCGACGTGATATCTGACGTGGGAGGTGCAGGTAACATGACCTTGACTTATCGACTGGACGCACCTCAGGAGGTAAACACATTAGTTACGCCCGCATCGAGGAAGAACCATTTTTTAGAGGACGAAAACTTGTCACTAGATCGAAGCGCAAGCACAAGAAAGTAGGAGTGACAGCGCACTTTATGCCTGTCTTGATCACCAAAGACCAATAAATTTATTATAAAGAGGAAAGAGACTGGATCAAGACTATGAAGACGAAGGCAGAAAGGGGGGCCGTGTCGATTGATAAATGACAAAATCAAGGAGATGATCATTGAAGACCATAATTTTTTTACTAAGGCAGAGATTAATTTCCTCGTTAATACTTTAAAGGACATACATCTAGCATATGCCTTTGACGACAATGAACGAGGAAGGTTACATGTTGATATGATTTCAATGATTAGGATACATACGGTACCACATGAGTCATGGAACATAAGAAGCTCGCAATATCAAAATTCAGACGATCACCGTAAGATAATTGAATATCTAGATGAAAAAATTCAGACGAGAGTGACAGATTATTTTTATGGTCCATATGCATTTCTTTGGTTCTGTTTTATCAAACCAAACGGCATCCTCAGGTGGGTCCAGGATCTGCAAAGTTTGAATGCAATGACGGTTCGAGATGCGAGTAAACTCCCACATGCAAATCAACTGTCAGAATCATGCGCAGGTAGATCCATCATAACACTGATTGATTCGTATTCAAGATATAATAAATTATCCTTGTATACATCAAACAAACCAATAATAGTACTGCATACACCTAGGGGATTGATTCACATGTGTTTGGCACCGCAAGGCTGGATGAATGTCGTCGTCATTATACAACGATATATGATGAGAGTTATGCAACTCCTCTGTCCAGATGTGACCTCACCATATATTGACAATTTGACTATTCAAGGACCTCATGTGAAAGATAAGACAAAGGTGTTGTCAGACATTCACAAGTTTGTCTGGGAACATGTTCGTGATGTGGAAAAGGTCCTGTGAAAGTTGAAAGAGTATAACCTTACAGCTAGCGGTGTCAAATCAAGACAATGCAGGCAGGAGGCAACGATTTTGGGATTTTTATGTGATGAGAAAGGTTGTCGGCCAGATACAAAGAAGACGAAAAAAAAAATGGAATGACAAACCCCTTTCAAGTCCATTACCGATGTACGAAGTTGTTTTGGGACCTGTGGGTTTTGACGTATCTTTATCCGAATATTTGCAGCAAGGGTAAAACATCTAAGGAAATTAATATGCAAAAACCAAGATTGGGAATGCGGACCCAGACAACAGGCAAAAGTGGATGACATGAAGACTGTGTTTTGACAAGGCGGAATGATTCTCGGTGTTTCTTGTTTTGATAACGATCCAAATCGACCCTTAATTATGGAAACAAACGCAGAACCCACAACTTTGGGTGGAGTCTTGATCCAGAAAGATAAGGAGAGACGAGAACGACCGTTGAGGTTTAAAAGTCGAACCTTGACTGTTGCCGAGCGTAATTATTCTCAATTCAAGAAGGAGACACAAACTGTCATTCATCGTACATCCATAAACTATGTATTTGGGAGACGGTTTGTTCTGCTGGTAGATTCGACAGTATTGATTTAATCACTGAGAAATGATTCTCCTTCGGATCCAACCGTCGCTCGATGGTTAACATAAATCTGGATGTTTGATTTTGAAATTGAGCATATTTCCGATACTCAAAATCGGGCAGATGAACTAAGTCGGATTGAGTGAGACTCATCAAAGGACCAAGTGGAAGACTCAGTCCCTGCGGACAACTTATTGGATAAGGAGGAACATTGGCTAAGTATTAATTTTATTAATTACTTGGAAAATGTTTCCTCTCGATCTGGAAAGTTTGTTTGAAATGCACCGAAATTCTTAATAGGTACGTTCTGAACTCGTGATGAGTGAAACTTTTCTTGAAGAGGATCCATGGGAAGAAAGAACTGGAAAACAAATAACGAGTTTGACCTTATCCGACTCAGTCAGCATCACAGACGAAACTTTGACAATCGAGGGTGATCACGAGCAAATTGATAAAGCCTCTAGAACATGTGGGGGTTTATTATTTCTAGTGAATTTCTTTATTAAGGAAGATCGTCTTAAGATGATGTCAGAAGAAGGGGGGACCAGTGAAATCAGGGAAGCCTTTCGTAAAAATGAGTATGACGGAATCTACGAGAAGATTGGATTGTGGTTGAATGAGGAAATTGGTGAAGGTGAGGTGGATCCAGAAATTCGCTTGAAAAGTAAGGATTTTGTCCTAAGGTGTAACCATCTCTTTAAAAAGTATGACAATGACATTATGAGAAGAGTAGTGTGTGGATTAACGAGACAGCTTGATGTGATTGTCGCACAACATGATGAAGTTGCAGGCGGTCACAGATCGGCATGAGTTACTTTACAGAAGATTCAACATCTTTACTTGTGGGAGGGGATGAGGAAAATGGTTGTTGATTCTTGTAACTCCCGCCTCCTTTGTCAGAAGAGATTGAATCTTCGGTATGTTGAGTCACTTAATCCTCGATATGTGGCTAAGTCAGACGCTGTAGTCGATCTCGACCTGTTGGTACTGCTGCGAGGGCTTAATGGATACAAACATATCTTTGAAGTCAAAGATAACTTAATCGACTTCGTCGATGGATGTGCAATCCGTGAACGAACTGAGAAAATTCTGGCAGAGTGTATTGAGGAATTTAACCTTCGATATTCATTTACCCGCGAATTCGTGATGGATCGAGGTGGGGAGTTCCGTGTTGATAACGCACAAGTTGTTTTGAAAAAGTTTGGTGTAAATTATAGTTATACTTCCAGAGCTCATCCACACACTAACGCTGCAGTTGAGCGAGAACACACTACTCTGACAAATTTATTGGCAAAGTGGTGTGCAGGTAATCCATCAAGATGGCCTGTTTATCTGGGGATAGCAATGTTTACGGAGAACATTACTGTAAAGTGAACGACTGGGTATGCTC